ATTGTGTGTTCAAAATGCGCGTATTCAAATGCGTAATTAATGCAAATTGTATGTACACCTCGAAATTTTCTACAACCAATGGCGAACGCAAATCGCTAGGTCAACATTCATAACTGATTCTTATATTTAAGACCGTCTTAAATATAATCTTGAGTTCGAAAGCTATTGCTTTTGTGATAATTATAATTAATTACATATACCTATTAGCATAGTTTTTTAAGTTTAATAGTTTCAACTAAAAGTTCCTAAAGCCCGCTGCAGACGATGCTATTTTTCCTGCCGGATTGCTTACAATCTAATAAATTACTATCGTTGCACCACTCAGCACTCAGGATTTCTAGTAATTTACTAAATTGCAAGCAATCCAGCAGGAAAAATAGCATCGTCTGCAGCGGGCTTAAGTGATGAAAAAGAGTAAATATCCTTTTTTCTACCTTGGTAGTAGAAATTAGGCCTTTTACAAATGATAATTTTGCCAAAGATAAATTATAAGTTTGTTTTTTAAATTTATATAAATTTTATATAAATAAAATTTTAAATAAATGTTTTCACACTATCTTTGTTCTTAATTCTACATTTAAAGCATCAACGTGTAGAGGCGTGTGTAGATCCTTAAGTCCCCTATAGGATAAATAAGCTGGAGAAGCTTCAGTTGTCCCCAATGAACTACACTGCAAAATATTTACTGCAATGCTTAAAGGCCGGGCATGAAAAAAAGAATTAGATTGCTAGGCACCCATTTCTTTCTCTGTCTAGTTCTCTGCCTAGACAGAAAAAGAAACGAACGTTGAACAACCTATCATTTGTTTTCTTGCCCGACCTCTAAGCATTGCAGTAAGCATTCCAATATAGTACAGAGTTGTCATAGTACACTGGTTGTTCAATTGGGCTCCTCGATGAACGTAGGTGTGGTTTTTTAAATACACTGCCACGATAAATACGCATTAATTATACATTTAATGTGCATTTAATGCGCATTAATTAATGTACATTAAATGTACATTTAATGCGGGACAAATATGCGCTTTAAATGTGCATGTACAATTCGCATTTAATGCGAATTTTAATGCACATTTAGAGCGCATTATACGTGCATTAGTGCTCCTTGAGTACTAACCGTACTGAATTCTTAACACTCCTCCCACTCCTCCCAGCGCATTGACTGCTTCTCTTTTGAGGCAGTTGATGCGTCTAATGCGTTCATGCGGTCTATGCGTTTGTTACATAATTCGGAACACATTTTCACTGCAAGTTCCGTTCGTCTTTTAACCTAGAAGAGAAATTTTTGGTTCTCGGGATTGCATCACCCCGCGTGAGGCCCGACAGTCGAGCCTCTGCATTGTATAATTGGGAATTACGCGTTCAACGTAATCAGTAATTTTTTCTGTTGCGATGATTTTCCCTCGTACTTTATTAGCCATAAGTATACAATATAATATTTGCATATCCCTTATGTAAATATCATCGTTATCATCATTTTCACTTTCGCTAGAGCTATCACTTTCATTGTTTTTGTTTAAAAGTATCATTGCAGATACAATTGTAAGGATTCTTTCTCTGGATAGCTTGCGGATGTTCACAAATACAGTGTCTTTATTATTTAATCGTGGATTAATACCGTATACACTTTCTCCTCTGATGACTCCCGGCACGCTCACCGGAGGTAGACTTCGAAGCACGCTCGCTTCCGATAACGCTCGCCTTCCTTGGTACGCTCACCTCCGAAAACGCGTAATTCGCACTCGCTAGTCGACTCTCTTCTCTCGAAACCCGCTCGCACACGGTTCCTAAATCCTGCTCTTCCCTCTTCCGAATCATGAATTTCCCTTCCTTCGTGTTTACGTCTCCTCTCTGTACCTTTCGCGATATGGCCTCTCTAGGCCCGGAATCGTTAGACGCTTACACAATTGATACCGTTAAACGTTTGTTGTCGTTTCGTTCGGCGTCCATTTTTCTCAGCTGCCAAAGCCCACTGTAGCGTAGCGCATAAGTCGCTCGGGAAATCGTTCCAAAATTCTCAAGCGCTCATGTGCTTTATGCGTGCATTAAAAAAACGGAACGATTTCGAAGCGTTGCGCATCAGTATTGCAGTCTACGCGCTTCATGCGTAATTCGGAACGCACCCTGAGTCACAGAGTTTTATGTGCTGTGTGGGTTAGGAGAACGAGAAAGACACTTCTGAAAATCGTCGCGACACCAATCGTACCTCGCGCTTGATAGAACTTGCACAGTGACGATGGTGACGAAACTGACGAATGATGCAATCGCGCAGGCTAATTTCCGCGGAATCGGAAATGTTCGTACCTCTTCGACAATATTCGTTGTTCAACGGATCATCAAAATTCAACGGATCATCAACGGACATCAAAATTCAACGGATATACAGAGAGCGACTAACTTTTCGATAAAATTTTCTCGACAACTGTATTTCATCGGATAAAGGTACCTATCATTTAATCGGATAACAAAATTAACAATCGGATACGCTATTTAATCGGTTTATTTTATCCTATGGAAATTTTTCTCAGTGCAGATAATGTTTCAAGTGGAAATTGATCTCTGCGAACCCATACAGCACGCATGTCTAAAAGACGACTTAAAGATGTCTTCTAGACATGCGTGCTGTATGGGAATATCCAAAGTGCGACTCTAATGATAATTCGCAATTTCGTGTATCTGGTAAATTTCGTCTCTTTTGTATATGTGCACCGAGAAAAATATCCGATTAAATATAAACGGATAATCCAATTGCATAATAACAAACGGATATATCCGATTAAATTGTATATTCGGTGAAAAATATGATTAGGTTTTCGATCAGATTTCATCGGTAACTGCAGTTCATCAGATATGTACATAATTTAATCGGAGAAATTAATCGGAAAAATTAACCATCGGAAATGCTACTTAATTGGTTTATCCGATGGAAATTTTTCTCAGTGTGCATACGACGTCAGAATCGATAACAGTGTCACATAGCGAGATGTCTGTCGAATTTATATTTAGCTTTCGCTAAGGAAAATAATAGCCGTTTGTTTAATATTTTGAGGCACACGATATAGTTTTACATCATATTTACATCGGAGTAAATAAAAAACAGATTAAATTTCAATAACTTCCGCTGTGAATGCTCTAAAGGAATAAAAAAGTTCTGCGGAAACCTCGGAACCTAACTTTTTAATAAATCCGCAATAAAGAACTGGTTTTATCATTGTTTCTACGTATTTTTCAGGTCACTCGTACAAAAGCATTCACAACGAATGTAATTAAGTTGTCAGTCTAATTTCATATCCTACGTATTGTGAAAGCATTGCACGGCATTGTGAAAATAATATCACTGAAACAGTACGTGACTAATTCTGGATATTTTAAAGCGGTAACAGAGAAACGAAATGCGGCGAATGACACGAAAGGTGATGAGAGCGATAACTAATTATAACCCAGCAAACACAAAGTAACAGTTATGTAACTGTTACTTTGTGTTTCGAATGTTTCTTTCAAAACTGTTATTACTATTTGCGTTAATTCTATAAAAATTTCTTTACCCAAACTTGTTATAAAGTTGGCGCATTTTAATTGTAAAATCTTAAGCTACCAATTTATTACTTGCTTTGTGTAGAAAACAATATATCGTACAAAGATATTTTTGCATATTATATCTTTCTCATCTTACAATATAGTAATATTTTAGAAAAAAAAATACTAACCTTCTGTTTGATTAGCTCTATCGTTTTCCTGGAATATTTACAAATAAATAATACATACATAGATACTTTATTGAAGACATTTTTAAGCATTAAAAAGAACATGTTTCGAAATGTCAGGCCATTTCTTGGGAAATAAGGACGTAAGATCATAAAATGGTAGGATTTATATGACAGGTGTATTTCATCACATAGCTAAGAATTTTTCTCAACAGTGACACGATGAAATGACAAACAATGAGGTAAAACCTGATAATTTCATAAGCGATACAAATATGAGAAAAATACATGGTTGTTGAGAACTACAGCATAGCAACCTTCGAATATCAAGCGCATGATGCTTTTCCTGCGTACAAATTTTATCTAAAACTTTAAATTATAAAAAGTAAATGTGTTTCGAGTCTATAAAGATATGTAATAATAGAGTTACATTATATTTTAATTAACAATGCTCTTACACAAAAGTTGCTTAATAATAAAGTTTAAGAAATCACTAAGTATCGTGAAATGACAAAAGTTATCAATCCAAATAGAAACATGTTTCCAGAAAGAAGATACAGAATTTTTCGTAAAAAAAAGATTCCTTTTTAAGTTTATAACAATACTGGCAAATCTCATAGTAGTCATGAACCAGGCGTACCTTTAGTTAGAAAATTAGTTAGAAAGTTAGAAAATTCATCTGATTCTTACAATTAAATAAATGCATAATATTAATCTTTAGATTATTCATATTTTTTACGTATTGCCGTTGAATCCAATTTCAATTATATATATTTTTTATTATAATATATTATATTTACTAAAACTCATTTTGTTTGTTTTGCTAATTGTTCTGAACTTCTGCAGAACAAATTCTTTAGTGGTGTAATATAATTCAAGAAAGCCATGCAACAGAAGCTTCATAACGTTTCATGATAGACAATGAAGAATCTAACTTTTAACAACTTCGAAAGTAGTCAGTTCTTGATATTACTACAAAACTTTGTTTAAATTCATTTCGCTACACCGACTTTATACATATGTATAAATACTAAAGAGTGCAATGTGTTTGACAGTAAGTAACACGTGTCTATGACAGGAAAATAACGCACAGTATCTTGTAATCTCGAGAGATGTAGCGGCTCTAAATGCATAATTATACTTTATACTATTCAGTTAGTGTAAAGAGTTGCGAGCGTATTGGTAATGCTTGACACGTTTACCATGACAGGTTGGAGATTTCTTAGTAGCTGCGCTGGGAATCCCTTTCGCACTGGCATCGGCGATCGCAGGTGTATGGATCTGGAGTCACGAAGTGTGCCTGTGGTACATGCATCATTATTATACAGTACAAATAAATAATATCGTAACGTTATTATATCAGTCTCTTAGAAACTAAATCGATCAACATTCGTGAAATAAAAATAACGTATAAATAATATAATAACGTGTCGCCTCTTCTCGAGTATTATAAATAAAAATTATTACGTCAAGAACTCAAGATTAATTCACGAATAATCTGCCTTGTAGAACACTCAATTATTCGATTAATATTATGCATTTATTTAACTGTAAGAATCAGATCAATTTTCAAACTTTCTAACTAATTTTCTAACTAAAGGTACGCGTGGTTCATGACTACCATGGGATTTGCTAATATCGGTAATCTGACAGTGATGGCAATGGAGAGATTCCTACTAGTCGCATATCCGATGAAGAGATTATCAATAAGGTAAGGAATCGATTTCTCTTCCACATATATGCTTTTCAGAATGAAAACTATATATAGCTAAGATATATTTCCCTTATTTATCTAATCAATCTTTGGAACGCTCTAAAAATTTATGAATCTCTCTCCGTAAATTTATGATCGACGCAGGAAACGTGTGTTAGTAAAGAAAAAAAAAGGAGCGTTTCTGCTCTCTTTATTAAAATTTACTTCCGAAAAGTAATCTTTTCCTTTTCACTGTAATACGTAATGCCCTTTCTACTCCCTCGGATAAGCTGCAAGTAGGATTAGCTTTAGGTATAGAAGGGGTATCGGATGAGCCACAAGTAGGATCATCCCTAGGTGTAGAAAGCAGGGTTTGGAAAGTTACTTTTT